CGGGCGCCGGGGCCGGTGCGGAGCGAAAGCCGCGGTTGGGCCTCGCGAGCGACAGCTACTTTAAGCCCGGACCCATGACGATCCTGCCGCTGCGGCGGATCATCATCGAGCGCGAGATGCCGCCGGAGCTGCTGACGCTCGGCATCGTCACGTCCGAAGAGGTGCTGGACCTCTTTCGCATCTTTTTCCACCACTGCTCGCAGCACATGCTGCTGCTCGACGCCGACTGGCACACGCCGACCTTCATCTGCAGCCGCTCGCCGTTCCTGTTCACGTGCATCTGCACCGTGGCCTCCAAGTTCTACGAGCGGCGGCCGGACCTGCACGCCAAGTGCCTCGGCCTGGTCAAGAACCTCGCCTTTGCCGTCATGTCGCGCGGCTTCAAGAGCATCGAGATCGTCCAGGGCTTCCTGCTCCTCTCGATGTGGAACCAGCCCGCCGAGCGCTTCGAGGAAGACATGACGTGGCTGTTCAGCGGCATCGCCATTCGGATCGCGACCGACCTCAACCTGCACCGCAAGAGCGTGGCGTCATTTTCGGGCAACCCGTCGCCCGACGACCCGGCGGTGCTCGACCGCGAGCGCGAGATCCTCAACCGCGAGCGCACGTGGTACATGTGCTTCATCGTCGACCGCAGCATCAGCGCGCAGATGGGCAAGCCGTACACGATCAAGGAGGACTGGATCGTGCGCAACTGCCGCAGCTGGGGCAGTCGCTTCAGCCGTACGTGGGACATTGGCATCAGCGCGCTCGTCGACCTGCACCGGATCCAGTCGCGGCAGCTCGACTTCCTCTACTCGGGCACCTCGTCGGTGTCGGGCCTCAACACCGAGATCGACTACTCGATGGTGCTGCCCGTCTTCAACGAGCAGCTCGAAGAGTGGCGGGAGCTGTGGCGCTGGCGCGGCCTCTACGACCTCACGCCCGACGCCCACGCCTACCTCGAGCGCCAGCGCGCGCGGCAGAGGCGGCAGCGCGAGAAGCGCGCCGAGGCCAAGCGCAACCGCGACAACGGCGC